ATAGTTTGGCATGTCAGCACCATTGCCTGCATTAGGTTTCAGTTTTCCCTTGTCCTTCTCATCTTCCTCATCATCACTTGGAGTCTGAAAATAACAATTACTGATGATTAATTTTTCACTCGGAATCTGAAAATAACAGTTACCGTTGACTGATTAAATTTGTTTGTACAAGTGAACTGAAACAATGAAACATACACCTATAAAATACACTATACAAGCTGTGGCTGCTTATATGGTTTACAGCTAGGCTGCAATGTCTGTGCCTTTCAGCCCCAGGCATTCAACTTCAGCATGCCACTAATAAAGTCGCCATTTACGTTACTCTTTTTATTATAGAATGTGGCTCCCCCCCCCCCCCTAAAATGGGGTCCCGGTACCTGCACGGAGAGACGGTAGGAAAACAGTAAATAAAACAGTCAACAGAAATAGAGAAGAACACAGTATACACAACACATTGGACAATAGATTGCAAATATATGAAAACACTGCCCCCCCCCCCCCCCAAAAAAAAAAAACAGCATACAAAATAGACATGATGCAACAGCACCACGCAACATAACAAAATGGAAAATAAAAATTCTGCAGCAACAGACTACTGACAAAAGTACCATGTTTCCGAAAAATAAGACCTAACCTGAAAAAAAGCTCTAGCACAATTTTCGAGGTGCTCGTAATATAAGCCCTAGGCAAGACTTGAATAAATGTATACTTTTGTGTACTAGAATAAATGTAAATCTTTGCACATAAACAAATGTAAATTTGAAACGGGCAGAAAAAAAAGTAAACAAACACATTAGCCAACAGTGAGCCTTGGTGGTGTAGTGGCTAAAGGTTTTAAGCCTAAATCCACCTAGTGCATAAAAAAAATTTCCAAAATGACCGTGGTTCCTACGTAGACTCAGCCATAACTCTTTTAATCCCAGGGGATTTAGCATCAGAGGCCCAAAGGGTGGTAAAGAAAGATGTAAAATCTGCAAATCTTGAGTTCACTGGGCTTCTAGATAGGAATCTATGAACATATGATGCGTTCCTTGGGATAGAAAGAGCTAAAAATATTATATACCATGTAATGTCCTGGGAAGAAAGGGTGGATATGAAGTACAAATCTGTGGTAACCTGAAAATCTTAATCTTTTCACAATTTCAACAACATGGATACTGAACACCTGGCACATGCCAGCCCAATGCCACCTAGGCTAGTTTGTTTTCATAGCACACAAATGGTATCTATTGTGTATGTAAACTTGCCATGATGTTTAACATGCACAAACTGACCCCAGAACAGACTGATTCAATTTAAATTTTCAATGGTGAAAACTGCATTGGACCTAAAATTATTTGGAATTTTTTTCTTCTTCTTCACATTCACTGTCTGTAAACTCTGGCGGAAAGTTCTGGTTGTTGGATTTTGACTGCTGTCTGAGAACGGATTATGTTCTAATTCCGAGGTACCCCTGTAAAAGGTCTAGCATCAGATGCTTTACACTGCTATGTTACCACTGATGTAAAAATAATCCCTTACTTAAACAGCCAACAGATTATCAACAGAGATATAGCGGAGAAAACTTACCTTATCTTTCTGATCGCCAGTTTCATCTGCATCATTGTTGGCTGTGATGTCGTTTTGTTTCTGAAAAGATAGGTTCATACAATGCTCTATGTTCTGCTGTTTAGAAAAAGATGTTAATCTAATTTTAAAATAATCTGCTTACTCTATCTTTCCCCAGTCACTGCAAGTCAACAGGCTTGACTTCACTGCATTGGGTTATAATGACAGTCTCTCTCTCTGCAGAGCAGCTAGCCACTTGCTGAGAGTGACCCACAAAGCCATGAGCTCCGTAGCTCCAGCAATGAGCCCAGAGGTCTTCATACAAGCTGCACTCATGAACTGAGAGTGTCCATGAAACAAACCCATGACTTTTAAAACACAAAGCAAACAGCTTGACCACTTTTGCCACATTCTCCCTTATGATTTTGATACAGCAATAGTTTTGTGGTTATCTTCTGTTTGTGATTAACTGTAAGGTTTGTAATGCTCTTTCTTCGTGCTCACGATAAATGGACCCTCTTTAACTGAAAGTTCTGTTTCTTTATCCACTTTTAAGCTTTAGATTTGCTCCAGAACTTGAGTTTTGTGTGCATGTTTGTTTTACAGATGTGGCTTATTTATTTGGAGACTGCTGGTTCCTCAACTCTCAGTGTTGCTGCTGGGTGTCTTTGACTCCCAGATGTTTGACAGTTTTTTAAAGGCACTAGATGTCAGTGCGATTCTAAATGATATTTTTTGGCGCTGAGTCCAGTATAGATATCATCTTACTTCCTGGATATGTAAAGACGTCGAAATTCTCAAGAATGTGATCATTTTTGTTTTTGCGGTGTTAATTTGGGGTTTGATTTGTCTGAAACATTCTAGAGATGGTTTGTAACCGAGTAACCAGGCACTGATATTTTGGAGTTCGATTTGTTTGAAACATTCTAGAGATGGTTTGTAACAGAGAAACCAGACACGAATAATTTGGAGCACAATGTCAACTGGCCGTGACCAGGAGATCTGATCGACACTCAACACTCAGATGAGTCTTCCCAGTCACAGTGTGTGTTGTATGTAGCAATCCGTTGATAAAAACTTTAATCGAAACGGTCAGTCGTATTTGTGAGCGTCTTGTTCCTTCCTTTTAGTCACAATTTATGTTGTATTTAGCTCTCAAAGAAGTATATTACCATAGGAGGCTACTTGCATCAATGGAAGTGGAACTCTGGGCTCGCAGCTGAAGACTGTGATGAAGCCCTTACTCGATTCTCCCGAGTAGTGTGATGTCGATTCTTATCTCAGCTCTACTCGTGTGGGTTCCATTGTGAAAAACCCGGAACAGACTCGCTGCCTCCCCAAAACAAGCATGTCGTAAGAGTCGACTAATTGTGAGCATCCTTTTTAATACATCTACTTGAGAGGCAAGGAATCAAAAGTCTGTATACAAATAAGCCAGATCTGTGAAATAGATTTGCACTCAACACTCAGGTTCTTAAACAAGACTATGGTCCGGAGGTGGACGAATCCTTAACTTAACGAAGAGTTTTATAGCCAGTAAACATGTAGAAGAACAAAGCTCAGCGCAACTCGTATGTGAGGAGGACAATAGCTATAACGCTTGCCATGCCGTCCGGATTTCATAGATTCGAATCCCCACTAAGGCTGGTATTAAAATGGTACCTGGGCTGCCATGATTAGCCTGTGCCCACACACGACTACATAGGACCAGGCAGGTGTAACCGTTACGGATACCCTAGTTATAACTTTTTACGAGATTGAACCGGGTATCTTAGATCTGCCTTGTTGGTCTGCTGGGCATTCGGAATCTGACTTTTTGGTCTGCCGGATATCTGGGATCTTACTTGTTGGTCTGCCGGGTATCTGGGATATTACTTGTTGGTCTGCCGGGTATCTGGAAACGGTCTTGTTGATCTACCGGGTATCTGAATCTGCCTTGTTGGATTTTTTAAATCTCAGGGTAGTAAGGTAGCAGCTCAGAGGGGACACGCCGATCAATCCCAGGATCACCCAGCTAAAATGGATACAAGAAAGACATTTAGAAGCAAATTCAGACGGCGGAATACTGATGACAGGAGTGATGCGGTGGCGTTTGAACTGAACCGTGGGCAACATGAGGTTTACGTCGCAAAGACAGAGAAACTACTTCTTCTTCTGCCTTTCTATCCCCAAATGGAGCATAGGCCTTCGACCAACTCACGCCAAGTCGTTCTATCCTTCGCCATTACATGGAGCTCTCCCCATGTCCTTCCCGTCTTTCTAACTTCATTCTCCAGTTCTCTTCTCCATGTGTTTTTAGGTCTTTCTTTATTCCTATGCCCCTGTGGGTACAAATGCAAACACATTGTAGTTATGCCGTTCTCCTGTTTTCTCAGTGTGTGTCCTGTCCAACGCCAGAGTCTTTTCTTCACCTCTTGGTCCACTGGAACCTGTTTAGTTCTCTCCCAAAACTCTACATTAGTTATTATATCATACCATTTAATTCCCTCTATTCTGCGCAGGCACCAGTTAATGAATATATGTAATTTTTTAGTAATTGCCTTAGTTGTTCTCCATGTTTCCGTCCCATACAAAAAATACTGATTTGACATTGGAATTAAAAATTTTTAGTTTAGTATTTCTTTTAATTTCTTTTGGCCTCCACAAATTCCCTAGTGCTATGAAAGCTCCTCTTGCCTGTTGTATCCTTATTTTAATATCTCTATCAGTTCCTTCATTTTATCTAAATTGCTGCCCAAATAGGTGTACGACTCCACATCTTAGAGTGGGGCGCCATTAAGAGAAACCACATTACTATTTGCCTGATTTATTCTCAAGAGAACTACAGAGAAGAGATACGGAGATAACCCACGATAAACAAAGTTACAAAATCACAGTTATTTAGCATTTTTTCTTCTTTTTCCTCTTCTTTTTTTACCTTCACCTGTTGTAAACTGCGGTGGAAAGTTCTGGCAGTTCTGGCTTATTTGTGACAGACAGACAGGCAGACAGACAGACAGACAGACAGACAGACAGACAGACAGACAGACAGACAGACAGACAGACAGACAGACAGACAGACAGACAGACAGACAGACACTGGCAGGCAGGCAGACAGACAGACAGACAGACAGACAGACAGACAGACAGACAGACAGACAGACAGACAGACAGACAGACAGACAGACAGACAGACAGACAGACAGACAGACAGACAGACAGACAGACAGACAGACAGACAGACAGACAGACAGACAGACAGACAGACAGACAGACAGACAGACAGACAGACAGGCAGACAGACAGACAGACAGACAGACACTGGCAGACAGACAGACAGACAGACAGACAGACAGACAGACAGACAGACACAGACAGACAGACAGACAGACAGACAGAGAATGAGAAAGAAATATAACAGAAAGACTTTAATGATTCAATTCTCTGTGCAACAGACAACCAATTAAGTTTAC